CGTCTTCCTCTTCACTGCTGGGATCGGGTACATTGTCCTCCATGCTGTTGGGATTGTGTATGTCATCATCCTCTTCATTACTGAGATTGGGTATGTCTCCTCTTTGCTGTTGGGATCAGATACAGAGTATTCTGCATTGGCATTAACTTCCTCTGAAGCCTGAAGAAATGAGAAAGGGTAATGTACATCGTTTAATTTATACTATAGCCGTTAAATGCAACATTTTATAAACACCCAGCGTGTTACAATTTATAACACACAGCATCAAGAGAAAAAAAATTATCAGCAAACTAGTAGCTACATGGCTTATTAGGATAAAGTACATGTTCATTTTTTGTTCCCTGCCTCTTACAAACAAGCTACCTAGCAACCTTGCCTAATTAGTAACTATAGCTACCAGTTACCTGAAAAACAAAAGATGCAGATAAAAGATAAGTAATTGTTAACAAGCGCTAGTTACGTGTTGTCTTCTTACATGGCTCAGACGTAAATAGCTATCTAGCTAATGTTGATGTGAGCATTAACCATAGCCAAGTAGCTAGTTAGCTGTTATCTCATATAGGCCTAGATAAAGTTAGAATTTAGCTCAAACTCACCTGTTCATTCCATCTGTACTTTGTCCTTTTTGGAATCCTTACACCTGATTCTCGAGTTTAAAGCGTAGTTTATGGCGACTGAAACATGCTGCAATATCTCCGGTTCAACATATGATATTTTGCTCGCGCGCAAGGAACAGGAAGTGACGTCGCTAATCAGCTCCGCCTACATCCGCCTTCTTCTGATGCTTCATTGGACATTTTTCTCAGTTAATGCATGTAAAATATGTTCAAATATATGTTAATGTCCTGTCTGTCCGGTGCTTTCATTCATATCAGACTTATAAATGTTCCTCAAAATACATACAGCAAAGGCGGCATTAGTTCATAGACATTTTTATTAATACTCCAATTGATTATTATTAGTATAGTATATGAATATAGGGCTTCAAAATGTTTGGCAGTAATTATGATTTCAGCTTCAGTAACAAAAAATATTTAATGTGCAATGCATTTCATAGACATGAGTATTAGAATATACAAGATGGATCTAAAAAAATTACTTGTAATCTACTTAAAAAATATTTAGACTGTTTTTGCTGTATAATAAAAGAAAACGTACATCTCCAGAAGAAATGTGTAAAAACGTTTTTCGATTTGGTAGTGTACTTAAAAGTTCAAGTAAGTTAACTATTTTCTAAATGTACTTTTTGAAAGTATATCATAAGTAAACTAAAAGTGTACTACCCATTTTGTAGTATACTTATAGTATACTTGAATATACTTTTTTCTAAGCATACTTCTTAAAAGTATATCAAAAGTGAACTAAAAGTGTACTATCCATTTTGTAGTATACATAGTATACTTTAATATACTTTTTTCCGTAAGGGATATATGCACATATATGCACCTCAATTTTGACGATATGTGGCATATATGCGCATATATGCAGCATATATTATCATATATGTGCATATATGTGTCATATATGCGCATATATGCAGCATATATATTATCATATATGTGCATATATGCAGCATATATATTATCATATATGTGCATATATGCAGCATATATGTGCATATAGGTAACATATAGGTTACATATATGCACATATATCCTCATATAGGTTTTTTCCATGTGGGTGCTTTCCATTAACCTGCTGCCTCTGTAAGTCGGAATCAGTAAGTACATGTGTATGTGCATACTTTATCCAGTGCCAGCAGCTGCACACTGCAGATATACTGCTTGGTCCCTCGGGTCTTATTTCAACCAGAATTTCTCATTTCTCATCAACATTTGGAACACATATTTCAGTTCAGTTTATTGCACGTTTATTAATTCTATGTGTGCTGTGATTTTACAAAACGCACAAATTAATCGTACCCTGATTATAGTCAGTACAATGGCCTACATTGCAATTATTTGGGACCTTGAAAAGCACTACATACGTTTTTATTGTTTTAATTTATTACTCTTCTTGCATCTCTAAAATATTGATCTCCTCTTTTGAACACATTGATAATATGTCCTGAGTTTGCCTACGGGCATTTTTTCAAATGCAAAACATCCAAACATCTGCCTTCTTAGACATTTGACTTGAATTCTTTTTAGGGGAGATGGTTGTACTTTTTCAAGACAGGTTTTCACTGTTATTTACTGCTGTGCATAGCCCTATTTTTCTTCCAAATGCCAAACCTCACTTGTAAATTACAATAATATATGTAGAATGTTCACCAACACTGCACCCTCATAATGTATTAAGACCACTTCAATTTCTCCACATTTTGTTTTGTTATAAAATCATTGATTGTAGATAAATATAAACCATGTTGTTTCTATCCTGAATAAGGACAGCCATTGCATATTTGACAGTAAACCATGATTTTAACACCACATCACTTTTCGCTGTTGTCATTCTGTTGTAACTGGTTTATGATAGAAAAAAGGCATCTCATGGGTTTGTGTTGTATAGCCTATAAATCACAGCTTAGCAAGTGCCTAGGCATCCGAAATATCTTATGTACACAGGTATTTACACCCTTTATTCAGGACTTTGTACAAGGACTTTTGGCAGTGATCACAGTTTATATACTTTTAGGGGGATTTGGGCATTTCTCCTCATTCTTCCTTGTAAACCCTTTCAAGCACTATTACATTGAATGTCTCTTCATGGACATCTGTATTTTATTCCATTCATCCTTCACTCATACCAGACCCAGTAGTCCATGCTCTACTGTATCATTCTCTGACGTCCATTCATCACTTTAGGAGTTGTATTATTGATGAGCAGCACATTCAGGGACAAATAGTTCAGTTTCGTTCTCATCAGTCCAGGGAAACTTCTTCCTCATGGCTTCAGAGGCCTTCAGGGCCCCAATCATGTTCTAGATCAGGGATGTGAAACCGGTTCCACGGGGGGCCTAGTGTATGCAGGTTTTTGGGTTTTCATTTAAATTAGTTCCCAGTTCAGACCTAAACAACCAGTAGAGGGTAGAACCTTACCAATTAGTGACCTAATTAATCAATCAAGAACAAGGTGAGAGCAAAGACCTGTAGACACTCGGCCCTCCATGGAACCGGTTTGACACCTGTGTTCTAGATGATCCAATTATGTTCTAGATGATCCAATCATGTTCTAGATGATCCAATCATGCTCTAGATGATCCAATCATGTTCTAGATGATCCAATTATGTTCTAGATGATCCAATCATGTTCTAGATGATCCAATCATGCTCTAGATGATCCAATCATGTTCTAGATGATCCAATCATGTTCTAGATGATCCAATCATGTTCTAATTCAGCGATTCTCAATCCGGGGTACTAGGACCTCAGGTGTACCTGGCCTGTCATCAGGGGGGACATCAGGGTTCACTCATAACATCATACGCTTACTGACTTTACATGATGAGGAACACAGAACGGAGTACAATTGTGTCGGTGGTACAGTAACTGAAAAAGGTTAGGAATGATTGTTCTAGAAGGAACTCATAGATGTCCATAGGCAAATATGCATCTGAGCTACATTTTCAGTCATAGGATTGCAAAGGATCTGAAAACTTCTGTATGTACACAAGATATTTAAGTTTAAAAGAAGATTTCTTCAATGTGCAGCCAAAGCAAAAATGTGGAGAAAGTGAAGAAGTCTAAAAAAATTCCACTAAGCACTTTTCTTTACTCCTGGGCCTTCCCAAACTTTCCTGGGCCTTCCCAAACATGTACAAAGTGTGTTAAATTATTCCTGGTGTTATGTTTGAACATGGTTTAATACGATTTCACGATTTTAAAAGCTGTCAGTTCCACTTTAGTTCTCCATGCGTACAGAAGACTGTGAGAAGAAGAGAGGTGGTTTTTTTTTATAAACATGAAGCATCAAGCAAGAAACAAGTTAAGCGCTATTGGAGCTATTTCTAATTCGATAGCAACAACCTTTAATCAATAACAACCGTTTAACTATTCTGAGCCTTGTTGCAACAACATAAATTCCCCCGAAGAGCAGTGCATTATTTTACACAGAAATCAGCCAATTACCACCTCCAGATTAATTCATTTTTAATTCCCTTTGAGTAATTTAACCTATACTCGACCAATTGAAAGTCTACTTAACCTCATCATTCTGGTAGGACTGTATCCATGGCTGCATTGTGTATCAGAAGATACACGATCAGCGTACTCTCTCTCGGATTCATTGTACTGCTGATTGAGCAAAGGGCTTTTATTTTGCATCCGTGTGTCTGACTTTTAGCCCTCTGTGTGCGCAGGTCTGTGTGTGTGTGAGAACCTGAGGTGAAGAGAGCGATGCATTCACAGACATCTCTATCATCAAGCCTTCCTGTCTCGCGTAGAGCCTTTGGCTCAGAAGTAGCTTTTTCCGAATGAGTCAAAGCCGCCAGCTAAACATTTAAACTCACCCTCCTCGTTTTTTTGGCAGAAAGTAAATAATTCTGTTTTCATTATTTTACTTTGAAATGAATTCAGCTCAAACGTGTTATTAATTTCACTCTAAAGTGCTGTTTATGAGACAGTTTGGACCTCTGGTCAGGATGAAAAAGAAGGGAGATTTACCGAGGGCCTGAACTCTTACATAACTGATTTGTTTCCCTTGAAGTGAAAATGGGCTGTCTAAATGGTTTAACTTCTGAAGTGGATCACGAGCCGTTGTCTCAGACTGTAAGGTTAGTCGGGGAGAGTCAGTCTGTGGCTTGGCTTATTTATTCATGCTAATTGTCTTTACAGGAATGGCTTGGCTGTGACTCAGTTTAAAACTTGCATGAGGAATCCACAATTTATGTCTGGCTACCTGACATAAAGATGGTGTCCGGACAGGATAAATGTGCCCTTAAAAAAGCTGGTGCCAATTAGATTAGATTCAACGTTATTGTCAGTACAAGTACATGGCAGTAACATTTATTTTAACCTTCATTTAACCAGGTAGGCCGATTGAGAACCAACGGCGACTTGGGGAGAAGCTGGGGATTGAACCCAGGACATCATGCATACAAAGCCTGAACTCTGCCACTGAGTTAAACCAACTCACCTAAAAAACTATGCAAGGCAGAGAAAGTGTAGATATGCGGAGGGCAGTACAAAGCATCCGTGCAAATGGCAAATAGAGAGTACAAACGGTATGCATTGTGCCATTGGCAGATAAAATAAATAATGTAGCAGTGAGTAGGAAATGAGGTAGCAATGGTGGGTACAAACACTAAAGTTCTTTGATGAAGGGGAGCTGGGCACCAATGATGCGCTGAGCAATTTTCATCACCAGCTGCAGGTACTTCTTGTTTGCCACAGAGCATCCGTTGTTCCAAACTGTGGCACTGTTGGTCAGAATGCTCTCGACCATGCAGTCTTAAATGTTTACCAGGAGCTTGGTGGATAGGCTGGCCTTCTTTAACTTCCTTAAAAAGTGCAGCCACTGTTGTGTCTTTTTGAGTAGAGTTGTGGAGTTGAGGGACCAGGATAGGTCGTCGGAGATGGGTGGCTGGACACTCAGGATATTGTAGCTGGCCACACGTTCCAGCGTGGTCTCATCAATGAGAACTGGGGCATGTATACCGCTTTTATTGGGGCTATAAACGACTCAGAATGTCATCAGTCGAATCGAAATTGGCAGTTCTATGCAAGATTCGACTATTCATTTCTTTTTGCTTTCCATTGGCATGAGATTCGGTGATGATTTCGACCATTAACAAAAGCAAATGCAAAAGAAAACTTATTTTTTTCATTTATAAATCAGTAGAAGGATTTGAATTGACAACATTGTCGGGCGTACCGTAAGGATTTATCAAGTCCATGTGACAGGCAGCATATGTGTATATCTTATTAACTCAAGTTAACATTGTATTTTTGACTGTAAAATTAAAAAGAACGTTCGTAAAGAACATTATGTTGTGGTGTTTACGGGCTTCCTGAACATCTAGCTCAGCTAACTCCAAATAAGACCCAGAGAGTGAATATGATTTACTGCCAAATGGTGTTTTAATTAACGCTACACTTGCGAGTATTAGGGTCAACAACCTATCCATTAACCTAGTCAGAAACAACTCTAGCTAATTGGAGCATAAGGACCTAAAGCACATCTCTGGTGGAAGCACACTGACAAGAGCGTGAGAGAGCAGTGCCTTTTCACCTGCTATTCAGTGAAGGAAGAAAATATATTTGATCCCCTGCTGATTTTGTACAATCCCCCACTGACAAAGACAGGATCAGTTTATCCTTTTAATGGTAGGTTAATATAAACTGCGAGAGACAGAATATCAACAATAAAAATTTTGAGTAACGCATTTCAAAGAAGTTCTAAATTGATTTGCATTTCACTCAGTGAAATAAGTATGTAGGCTAGTAAATCGGCCAAGATAATTGCAAAATGGGCGCCTAGCTAAACAACCTAATCGTTTCAAATGATTTGCCACGTTTAATGTTGCTGAATGACATGCAAATTCATGCATAGTTTGCATATTTCTTTGTTTGGGTTGTCCTTTGATGTTCGAAATGCCACCATACTTTAGACATTTTCTAGGACAGAGCCTTTAACCCCACCTCAGGTTGAATTTGGTCTAACCAGCGGGCAGCGCATGTTGTCGTGAATCTATTTTGGTTCTGGTTGCCTTGCTGGATTCTTACATATAGGCATGCATTTACAATTACTGTTACTATAACATTTTCATTTGACCAACTTTCAGGGGGCAGCCATAGCTTTTAAACTTCTTTGGTTTTCATGACATTGATGACCAGCTTGTTATCTGCGCATCAAGCCACTAGGTGCTTGACCTCCTCTCTGTAGGCTGCCTCACCAATGTCCCTGACCAGACCACCTACTGAGGTGTCATCAAACATGACAATGTTATTGGAGCAGTGTACAGGTGCGTACTGTTTATTTTATTTAACCTTAATTTCACCAGGTAGGCCGATCAGATCAAATTCTTGTTTGCAACTGCGACCTGGCCAAGATAAAGCAAAATCGTGCAAGACAACATACTGAAACTCAAATTTGCTCAAATGCTTGTTCATGTCTTCATTGATCACAACCTGATTACACAACATAGATGTTACAGTAAGCAGGTAATTAATAGCTTCCGCAAATGGTGGATAATTAAAACTGTATATCTGTCTTCTATCGAAAGTAATGTAGGCACGACGCAGTCGTCTGCTTCGGCACTGGCACAATTGTTGTGGTCTTGAAGCACGTGGGGACAACCGCTAGGAAGAGTGACCGGTTGAAAATGTCCATGACGATCCCAGCCAGCCTTGTGTGTGTTCACCCAGCTGAGTGCAGAAGCTACGATGGACAGACAGAAGGGGACGACCTCTGGGTGAGCTCCAATTAAATGGCTGGGTCGATGTAGTTCCAGTCGAAGCGGGCATGAAAGGTGTTCAGTTTGTTGGTAATGGAGACATCAGTGGCTGAGGGTGCTTGGGTTGGTAGTCAGTGATGGCTTGAAGGCCCCGTCACATACGTAGAGGGTCAGAGTTTTTGAGGAAGTGCTCCTCGATCCTCAGTTTGTGGCCGTGTTTGGCCATCTTGATGGACCTTTTCAGGTGGGTCCTGAATGAGCTGTAGGCCCTCCTTATCACAGGATCAGAAAACAGCATCACGTGCCTTCAGCAGTAGTCTGACCTCTTTGTTCATCCAAGGCTTCTGGTTGGGGAAGGTCTTTATTTGTTTATGAGTGGTGATATTGTTGGGGGAGGTGTTGATGTAATCCAGAACAAAGGATGTATATGATTCAATGTCAGTATGGGAGTCAGCGGTAGTCTGAGTTGCTAAGACTCCAGTCTGTGTGTTGAAACTGTAGCTGTAGTGATGAGTCTGACCCCTCAGGCCACACTATGACAGTCCTCACTGTAGGTTTCACACGCTTTGTACTTCGGTAGCATTAGCAGAGACAGGTGATCAGCCTGACCCAGATGAGGGACGGGGGGGGTGGCTTTGTAAGCCTCTGGAATGTTAGTGCACACATGGTCTAGTGTCTTGTCTCCTCTTGTGGGGCATTAAACATTTTGGTGGTGTTTGTGAAAAACAGTTTTCAGACTGGAGTGGTTAAAATCTCGTGCAAACAATCCTAACGGCATTGGGATGCAGTATGCTAATGGAAGCCTTCAGTTCTTTCATCGCTAACTTAGCCGTAGCATCTGGTGGAATGTAGTCTGCGGTAACAGTACTGGACGGGAACCCTCTTGGCAATGATTTCAGATGGAGAAAACTAATGGAAAAGCGTTACCTCAAAATGAACTAAATTGTATTTTGTTCTAATAGTCGGAATACACTGTTCCCAAATGAACATCGCGTCTTGCCTAAACCAACACTTTCGGATTAGGGACACAAGAAAAACTCCCATTTCCGTCACCAGCCCCTCCAAGAAAAATTCCGTAAGCGGTACAGTTTGACTTTATTAGGAGATTCTGTGAAGAGTCTCTAACTGCTCCCCACATGAAGGCAGCTGAACACAAGTGGAAGTAGTTAGTTAAGAGACCCTGTGGTGGAGGGCAACTTGGTTTGTGCCTTAATAGTTCCCAGCTTTATTGTGGAGCTGTTGTTTTGACCTATGACCTATGACGAATAAAGAATTTAATGATGTGGTCAATCCTTCTGATTCACCGGCATTTGTTGGACCAGCGCATGTTCAGTTCACGTTCATAGACACAACAATTCCGAGGGAAGAACGAGATCTCTTTATTTGTATAATGAAAATGTCACTTTCACTTCATCAAAGCTCAGAAGATCACCTCGTGTACACATAGAGGTTGGCACGGCGTCGGTTGAGCAGTTGTGGGAGATTAGGTGCCAGACTCAAGGACACAACGGGACAGGATGGCATTCTAGTCTTGACACCGGGGACGCCGGTTGCATCCTAACGTTCTGCCTTTTTTACGTACTCTGGGATTACCTGGGATTAAAACTGACAATCCACCAGATGGATTATTGGCTTGCCAACCACTAGGGTATGCGATGACTTTGACCCCGATATCTCAAAGCTTGCATCATTCTGAACTTCTTTTCTATCAGCTGTGCTCCCAAATATACTTCAAATGCAATCTACCAGTATAAACCTCAAATACCACCTCCTAGGTCATAATGTTGGAACACGACCGAATGCTTGGCGTTCTGATACACCTTGCCAAGAATTCAGAGACCAAGTTTTAATTACTTTTCCAATAAGTCGTTGGCCTCCGAGCATGTGTGCTTTTGTGTGAGGTGTTATTGATTCTACAACAAGGTTTTAAATCTTTCTGGCTTGGTTTTAAAGACCAATTAATGCTAATGAAATATGTTATAAGTGAGTTTTCTATTGCCTTAAAACACAACAGTATTTCTAAAGCATGTCAGTTATTATTAGGAAACTTTTTTTTCCAGGAATACAGTCAACCTACCCAACATATGAAAAGCATTTGTCGGAACGCCACTAATGAGTTTTCTTTTACGCCAGGTATGTATCTTTGATGTTACCAGATGAACTATTGTTTAGTATATTTTGTTAACTATCAAGGCAAAATTCAGGATAGACAAACATATTTAAGATAGCTGATGTTAGCAAATCATCATATCAAACCGGAAAACGGAAGATGGAACTTGCCAAATTTATTGCAAATATTGTCATTGAAGAATTTTTAATTTATTTAATCTCAATACATATTCTATGTTACAAAGTAAATTCATTTTTTTTTAATACAGAGTTTGCCTAAGTTAGATATACAGAAGACTTTCAAACACGATGTCTGATGTACAAGCCTTTAAAAAAAAAAATCCTAACCATTTTTGGCCCGAGTCACAATTGTTCATTATAAATGTTCTCCTGGTCAACAAGGAATAATTAATTGTATTTGTTGCAGCCTATTTAAATACGTATTGTAATCCATAAATCTTGAATTAAACATTATATATAGGCTTTGCCTCCCAATCCAGGCCTTTTGGAATTCAGTATGAGGTGCGTTCTGAAACCGCCTGCAGCAAAGGACTGCTCAATGTAATTAGTAACATTGAAAATTAGAAAACCTTTCCTTATGTTTGGTAAAAGAAACACCATTTTGTC